CCTGTCCTTTCAGAATGTGTACAAGTCTGACCTGCTGTGGCTGAGGGGCATTGGTTGGTCCCCAAGTGGTTCTCTGGACGATGAGAAGAACAAGAGGGCGAGCCAAATCCTGAGTGACAAGAAGTACCGGCAACACCCGGACACCATCAGGTTCACCAGCCTCCCCGACTCCATGCCCATGGTTCTGGCCAAGCACAACTCTGCAATTATGGACCAGGTGAGACTCCTGGCATGTGCAGCCTGAGGGAAACAAGGCCCTTCCTCCCCAGGGTGCTGGGCTGCCTGCTTCCAGGGCCTGGGTTTGTCAAGGGGGATGTTGCATCCTTGTCTAGCGTGGGGGCTTCTGATCCTTGGTTGAGCTGTGATTCTGTGGTGAGGTTGGAGCAGTGATGGGTGCAGTGTGGGAAAGCAAAGGGGGAAGCATAAAGAAGTCTTCTGGGCAAGGCAAGGTGTTTGTGAGTGAGTGCAAGTGGAGGCCCCTGGCTGCAGATCCTTGAGGTGATTTTCTCTCTGAGTGTGTTTCCTCGTGCTCCTGTGCTTCTCATGTCCCACTCTTGTCACTTTTGCAGCGCGCGTACACGTCAGCCTGGGAGAAGGATAAAACCAGCGTCCACATTATGCCGGACACCCCTGGGATTTTGCTTGCCCAGCAGAACAAAGTGAACTTCAGTGAGGTGGGTGTTTGAGCTGGGGTGCTGGGACCTGGTTGGTGCTGTGGCTGGGAAAGAAAAGCTGTTTGAGGGGAACACTTGTTTTTCTTTCAGAAACTGTACAAGCTTGCGATGGAGGAGGATAAGAAGAAGGGCTATGACATGAGGGTAGATGCCATTCCCATCAAGTCTGCCAAGGCTTCCAGGGACATCGCCAGTGATGTAAGTACACGGGAGCCCTTGGTGGCACACCTTATCAGATGGGGAGGGACCCAGCAAGGATCTTCTGCTTGTAGATGCCTGTTCACACATGGTGATCTCTCTAGGCCTGGGTTTGTCAAGGGGGATGTTGCATCCTTGTCTAGCGTGGGGGCTTCTGATCCTTGGTTGAGCTGTGATTCTGTGGTGAGGTTGGAGCAGTGATGGGTGCAGTGTGGGAAAGCAAAGGGGGAAGCATAAAGAAGTCTTCTGGGCAAGGCAAGGTGTTTGTGAGTGAGTGCAAGTGGAGGCCCCTGGCTGCAGATCCTTGAGGTGATTTTCTCTCTGAGTGTGCTGCCTCGTGCTCCTGTGCTTCTCATGTCCCACTCTTGTCACTTTTGCAGCGCGCGTACACGTCAGCCTGGGAGAAGGATAAAACCAGCGTCCACATTATGCCGGACACCCCTGGGATTTTGCTTGCCCAGCAGAACAAAGTGAACTTCAGTGAGGTGGGTGTTTGAGCTGGGGTGACGTGTCCAGCTGTGGTTGGTGCTGTGGCTGGGGAAGAAGAGCTGTTTGAGGGGGACACTTGTTTTTCTTTCAGAAACTGTACAAGCTTGCGATGGAGGAGGATAAGAAGAAGGGCTACGACATGAGGGTAGATGCCATTCCCATCAAGTCTGCCAAGGCTTCCAGGGACATTGCCAGTGATGTAAGTACATCACTGCCCTTTGGTGCTATACCCTATGGGACAGTTTCCTGATCCTGTTAGTTGAAGCACAGGGTTTGCAACCTGAGAGCTGGTTGATGGACATATTTCAAAGCAGTGTACCTCCTGGGCTTGTTTCAGGATCTCTTTGTGCAACATTTGAGGAAGTGTGCTGTCCTCAGTAATTGCAGACTGCACTCTCCTCCTGTTACAGCTGAGGTGGACATTTGGAAAAGAAATCACCTCAAATTGAGTTTTGTGTTACCAGTGGGGCATGAATTGTTTCTGTCTGGACTGGACACAGGACCAGCCACTGTGGGCCAGTCATTACTTTCTTCCAGGGTATCTTTTCTGGGCTTAGCTCTGCAGGAGCAAAACTTACTCTCTTACTTGAGATTCTGTAGTTCAAGTTTGTTCCTTAACTGTAAGGAGATGTGTTCAATTTCTGCTCAGTCTTGCTTGACATTTCAGTAAGATGCAAGGAAAAAATGTGGTGTTGGACCTTATCACATCCCAAGCTTAGTATCTGCAAGACTGCAGCTGAGAACACACCCAGAATTGGGAGAATTAGAGTCCTGAACACTGTGCAGGAGAGCCTGGAGCAGGGGAGTGTGTCAGCTCCTGTGGGCTGTGTGGGTGAGTGAAGTTAGGGCTGTATAGGATGGGGCCCAGTTTAACTCCTGGAACAGTTTGGTGGGTTTCCCTTGGTCCTACCAGCCACTTCCTGACCTTTTCTCACAGTGGGGATGCTTAGGTTATGTGTACACCCTGTCTGCTGGTATGAATCGCTCCAGGTTCTGGAGCTAGGTTGGAATTCCTGTCTGAGCCTCCATGTGCCTCCTGTGGCCCACTGTACAATGGGGAGGGAAGGAAGTGGAGGACCCAGTGTGGATCTTCTGCTGCTAGATGCCTGTTCACACATGGTGATCTCTCCAGGCTCCATTAACAAAGCTCTTGCAGGGAGGACCTGTTCCAGAACAGTGTCAGAGGAAGAAGAGCAGGTCAGGAACTGACTGAGTTTCTCTCCCCCACAGTACAAGTACAAAGAAGGCTACCGCAAGCAGCTCGGCCACCACATTGGGGCCCGGAACATAGAGGATGATCCCAAGATGATGTGGTCCATGCACGTAGCCAAGATCCAGAGTGACAGGGAGTACAAGAAAGACTTTGAGAAGTCCAAGACACATTTCAGTAGCCCAGTGGACATGCTGGGAGTTGTACTGGCCAAGAAATGTCAGGAGCTGGTCAGCGACGTTGACTACAAGCATCCTCTGCATCGGTGGACCTGCCTGCCAGACCAGAACGATGTTGTACAAGCCAGGAGAGTGTACGACCTTCAGAGTGATGTGAGTTGTTGTTTACTGATTGTGTGGAAACCAGAAGTGTTTGTTCTTTTGAGTTCCGTATTTGGGAAGGTTCAGATGGGGAAGATAATCTCCACTGATTCTGTAGGACAATGTTCTGGCTGTACTATGTTGCTGAGGAATTGCTGTCGTGAAGCAGTCAGGTTGAAGTTAGTGTGAGGTCATACTTTATGGTCACTGGGGAATCTAGTGTTGCCTTGACCATTTGGAAGGAGGGTTTCTACAAGTGGCTGAAGTTGTGTTTCAGGGCTTAGCAATGGAGTAAAATGTTTTCTTCAAGAGGAGCAGCAGTGGGAAAAGACAAGCCATGTGTGCTGAGGGAGTTGGAATGAAAAGCAATAGGTGATGCAACGCAAAACACCTCTTGTGCCTTTGCCAGATGGACATTTTCAAATGAGTCTGGTCTGTCATATGGAGACTAAGAAGATGGGGACGGGAAGGTATTGGGGGTTGATTGTCACCTGCTTGTGCTTGGTGAGCAAGTGAAGACAGGCTGAAGGCAGCTGAGCTGGCCAGGAGTGACTTTCATGGTGCAGGGTGGGATGAGACAGCAGAATGAGTTTTGGTAGCAGAGCTGCCCTTGTTAGGAGGAGTGGCTGCATGGGGTGAGGAGGTGTCTGAGCTGCTTTGTGTCCTGGCCTGTCCTTTCAGAATGTGTACAAGTCTGACCTGCTGTGGCTGAGGGGCATTGGTTGGTCCCCAAGTGGTTCTCTGGATGATGAGAAGAACAAGAGGGCGAGCCAAATCCTGAGTGACAAGAAGTACCGGCAACACCCGGACACCATCAGGTTCACCAGCCTCCCCGACTCCATGCCCATGGTTCTGGCCAAGCACAACTCTGCAATTATGGACCAGGTGAGACTCCTGGCATGTGCAGCCTGAGGGAAACAAGGCCCTTCCTCCCCAGGGTGCTGGGCTGCCTGCTTCCAGGGCCTGGGTTTGTCAAGGGGGATGTTGCATCCTTGTCTAGCGTGGGGGCTTCTGATCCTTGGTTGAGCTGTGATTCTGTGGTGAGGTTGGAGCAGTGATGGGTGCAGTGTGGGAAAGCAAAGGGGGAAGCATAAAGAAGTCTTCTGGGCAAGGCAAGGTGTTTGTGAGTGAGTGCAAGTGGAGGCCCCTGGCTGCAGATCCTTGAGGTGATTTTCTCTCTGAGTGTGCTGCCTCGTGCTCCTGTGCTTCTCATGTCCCACTCTTGTCACTTTTGCAGCGCGCGTACACGTCAGCCTGGGAGAAGGATAAAACCAGCGTCCACATTATGCCGGACACCCCTGGGATTTTGCTTGCCCAGCAGAACAAAGTGAACTTCAGTGAGGTGGGTGTTTGAGCTGGGGTGACGTGTCCAGCTGTGGTTGGTGCTGTGGCTGGGGAAGAAGAGCTGTTTGAGGGGAACACTTGTTTTTCTTTCAGAAACTGTACAAGCTTGCGATGGAGGAGGATAAGAAGAAGGGCTACGACATGAGGGTAGATGCCATTCCCATCAAGTCTGCCAAGGCTTCCAGGGACATCGCCAGTGATGTAAGTACACGGGAGCCCTTGGTGGCACACCTTATCAGATGGGGAAGGACCCAGCAAGGATCTTCTGCTGGTAGATGCCTGTTCACACATGGTGATCTCTCCAGGCTCCATTAGCAAAGCTCTTGCAGGGAGGACCTGTTCCAGAACAGTGTCAGAGGAAGAAGAGCAGGTCAGGAACTGACTGAGTTTCTCTCCCCCACAGTACAAGTACAAAGAAGGCTACCGCAAGCAGCTCGGCCACCACATTGGGGCCCGGAACATAGAGGATGATCCCAAGATGATGTGGTCCATGCACGTAGCCAAGATCCAGAGTGACAGGGAGTACAAGAAAGCTTTTGAGAAGTCCAAGACACACTTCAGTAGCCCAGTGGACATGCTGGGCATCGTGTTGGCCAAGAAATGTCAGGAGCTGGTCAGTGACGTTGACTACAAGCATCCTCTGCATCGGTGGACCTGCCTGCCAGACCAGAATGATGTTGTACAAGCCAGGAGAGTGTACGACCTTCAGAGTGATGTGAGTTGTTGTTTACTGACTGTGTGGAAACTAGAAGTGTCTCTCATGTTCTCTCACTTAGTTGGCAAAGGCCCAGGTGACAGAGGTATCTAGTTTGATTCTGTGGGATTGTGTTGTGGCTGAACTGTCTTGTTGAGTGTTGGTGTTGTGAATGGTCAGAGATAAAGTTACTATGGGGTCATAATTAACAGAAATGTCCTTTCTCGTGTTTTGGAGGAGGGTCTCTGCAAGTGACTGGATTTCTGCATGTCAGTGAATGGTCATGGAGTCAAATATTTCTTGTGGAATACAAGCAGTGGGTAAAGCCAACCCATGTGTGCAGACACATGTGGTAGGACGAGCATTAGGATGTAAGGTACAGAGCTAGTCCTGTGACTCATCCAGCTGGACATTGCAAAGTGGGGCAGGACTTCCCAGGTGATACTAAGATTTATGTGCAGGAGATGGTGAGGGGAAGGTATTAGGGGTTGATTGTCACCTGCTTGTGCTTGGTGAGCAAGTGGAGACAGGCTGAAGGCAGATGAGCTGGCCAGGAGTGACTTTCATGGTGCAGGGTGGGATGAGGCAGTGGAATAAGTTTTGGTAGCAGAGCTGCCCTTGTTAGGAGGAGTGGCTGCATGGGGTGAGGAGGTGTCTGAGCTGCTTTGTGTCCTGGCCTGTCCTTTCAGAATGTGTACAAGTCTGACCTGCTGTGGCTGAGGGGCATTGGTTGGTCCCCAAGTGGTTCTCTGGATGATGAGAAGAACAAGAGGGCGAGCCAAATCCTGAGTGACAAGAAGTACCGGCAACACCCGGACACCATCAGGTTCACCAGCCTCCCCGACTCCATGCCCATGGTTCTGGCCAAGCACAACTCTGCAATTATGGACCAGGTGAGACTCCTGGCATGTGCAGCCTGAGGGAAAGAAGGCCCTTCCTCCCCAGGGTGCTGGGCTGCCTGCTTCCAGGGCCTGGGTTTGTCAAGGGGGATGTTGCATCCTTGTCTAGCGTGGGGGCTTCTGATCCTTGGTTGAGCTGTGATTCTGTGGTGAGGTTGGAGCAGTGATGGGTGCAGTGTGGGAAAGCAAAGGGGGAAGCATAAAGAAGTCTTCTGGGCAAGGCAAGGTGCTTGTGAGTGAGTGCAAGTGGAGGCCCCTGGCTGCAGATCCTTGAGGTGATTTTCTCTCTGAGTGTGCTGCCTCGTGCTCCTGTGCTTCTCATGTCCCACTCTTGTCACTTTTGCAGCGCGCGTACACGTCAGCCTGGGAGAAGGATAAAACCAGCGTCCACATTATGCCGGACACCCCTGGGATTTTGCTTGCCCAGCAGAACAAAGTGAACTTCAGTGAGGTGGGTGTTTGAGCTGGGGTGCTGGGACCTGGTTGGTGCTGTGGCTGGGAAAGAAAAGCTGTTTGAGGGGAACACTTGTTTTTCTTTCAGAAACTGTACAAGCTTGCGATGGAGGAGGATAAGAAGAAGGGCTATGACATGAGGGTAGATGCCATTCCCATCAAGTCTGCCAAGGCTTCCAGGGACATTGCCAGTGATGTAAGTACATCACTGCCCTTTGGTGCTATACCCTATGGGACAGTTTCCAGGTGCTTGCAGTTGAAGCCCGGGGTTTGCAACCTGAGGTCAGTGGAAAGATCCCAGGTCTTACCCATCATAACCTTCCAGCTCATTCTTAAAGCTGGTGGCTCTGGAGGGTCTCCCTGTAGGTGTGCCTGCATGGTACGGTTGTGTGGTGTTGACAGGGAATGTGAAGATGGTCTGGAGCTAGTAAATACAATACCTGTAGTATCTCTTAATATGTAGGCCATGGAGTTTCTTTGAAATTGTGAAGGTCATATCCTGCAGATAATGTTGTGTGAATTGTTTGTAGTTGTGCAGTGTGGTTTGTGAGCTAATTAATTTCTCTCTCTGAAGTCTCTGTGCTTTCAGATAGTAAGTAGTCTGGTTATTGTGACACAGAGGCTGTTAAGGATGTAAGAAAAAAAGAAAAAAGTCATGACATCCTCACTGAACCTTTTTCTACCTATAGTACAAGTACAAAGAAGGCTACCGCAAGCAGCTCGGCCACCACATTGGGGCCCGGAACATAGAGGATGATCCCAAGATGATGTGGTCCATGCATGTAGCCAAGATCCAGAGTGACAGGGAGTACAAGAAAGCTTTTGAGAAGTCCAAGACACACTTTAGTAGCCCAGTGGACATGCTGGGCATTGTGTTGGCCAAGAAATGTCAGGAGCTGGTCAGCGATGTTGACTACAAGCACTATCTGCATGAATGGACCTGCCTGCCAGACCAGAACGATGTTATCCATGCTAAGCAAGCCTATGATCTGCAGAGTGATGTGAGTACTTGCTGATAAGAACTGAAGTTCCAAAGTCTATGTAATTTCCTTTGATTGTAAACCATAGAAGCTTCTTGAATTGTCTCTCTCACATATTGTTTTATCACATTGTGTTTTTCTTTATGTATTCTAAACAAGGTCTTAAGATTTTTAGGAGTGAATGAATCTGTCTCCAAGGAAGGCTGAGTAATATGGAAGTTTATTTACAGCGGACATGGTAGTTGAATCATAGAATTAGCTGCATGTAGTCCTTCATAATAGACAATATTGATACCCTTGAACTGCAGAGAATGAGAAAACTGCCCAGTATGACTTTTATATTCAGTTGCATGGAGAGAGGAGAGAGTTCCTTTTTCTATCATGAAGAAAATTGTTTCAGTTAAAACCCATTGTTCTTACCGGGCATTTATTTGCTGGGGATAAATATTACAGAAGAAAATTTATACTGGCTTTCCGGGTTTTGTGTTAATACCATTTTTCTTTAACCATTCCCCAACATGTTCTTGAATTCATGAAGACAGATTTGTGTCTGAATCTACACTGGTAATAGATTGTTTTGCAGATTGAACTAGCAGAAAGTCAACTTACAGAATGAAAGCATTATTTGCATGGCATATGGGAAATGCTTAAATTGCAATATTAATGAGACTGGTGCCTTTGTATTTGATAATAGAATTGTTACAAGTCTGACCTCGAATGGTTACGAGGCATTGGTTGGGTCCCAATTGGCTCCTTGGACGTTGAAAAAGCCAAGAAGGCAGGAGAGATCTTGAGTGATAAAATATACCGTCAGCCTCCAGACACAATCAAGTTTACCAGCGTGCCTGACTCTCTAGAGATGGTCTTAGCCAAGCAGAATGCAGAGACAATGAATAAGGTGAGTCTTGATTTAATCAGGCACCACACCAGCAGTCCCTGCCTAAACCTTGGAGACAGGGCTAGGGGTACAGATGTTTGGTTACTATGTGAGATTTCAGCACAACCAAATTCTAAAAGTGTAAGTTACATTCTTGGTAATCAACAGATAACTTATTTTCAGCAAATGCTAATTTGATAATATCTTCCAAATTACCAAGATAAATTTGAATTATCAATATGAATCTTTCCACATACTTCACTATATATTTAGTAATGTGTTAGCTAACTTTCATGTATTTTTAATATAGAAATTTGTTTAATAGAAATAATAATTTATGAAATTTCTCTAGGAATTAATAAACTACTTGTTTTAGTGCAGTCTTTGAAATAATCTTATTTTGAACAATTTAATGTAGTACTTAAAGAGTAAGAGTTTTCCTAAATCTGTGGCCCTGATCTCAATCCTATTCATGTCAATAAAACCATTTCCTCTTTCAGATCTCTCTGTGTCTGATTAGCATTCTGTGCCTTTTCTAGAAATATATATTTTTTAACATAATTCTTTCCAGCTTACTAAATCTTAATCTGGACTTCAAGCATCTAGAGAAGTGAATCTAAAACCTCATCGCTTTATATAAAATAAGGATTTTTTAGACTTATCTTGGAGTACAGATCTATAAATCTTCTGTTTTAGGAGATCTTCATGCAGTCACCACATTTTTTCCTCCCTTTAACATACATCATTTCTCCTGCAGCGTTTATATACTGAGGCCTGGGACAAAGACAAAACACAAATCCACATCATGCCTGACACACCTGAAATCACACTGGCAAGACAGAACATGCAGAACTACAGTGTGGTGAGTGTCTTAGTTCTCCACATGTAACCAATCTCTTTCATGGCTGGATCATGTGCATTATGATACACAGTATATAGATGATACCATCAGGTTTTTTAAGTAACCCCCAATATTTATCTTCAAAATCGTGACTTTAAAAACATAATTTGTGCATTTGTACAGTAGTGCATACATATGTCAGTGAACACTCTTGAGAGTAAATTCCATGAGAAGCTGTGTGTCTTCAGGGGATTTGGGGGAATAATTTCTGTCATGTGCATACACTTGGGAAGGCACAAGATTAGTTCCAACATTGAAAATGCCTAAAAGGAAATTTCCAGCACAGCCCTGAAGAGCAGTGATCCCAGAGCTCAAAGTTAGTTCAGGCAAATAAATTCACTTCAGTAAGAGATGGCTTTAAAAAGTCAGTTTTGCTCCACCTGTATAGAAGAATATTTTATCTTTAAAATTGTAGTCAGTGTTAGATTGTTTAAAGTGTTGAAAGAAAAAAAATAATCATCAGCTAATGTATTTATCCAACACCTTCCTTTGATGTGAAATTGTATCAACTACTGATCTGGGACTTTGAGTTAAGAAAGTTAGATAAAGCTGAGTTAGAATAAATCATACCACAATTTAAAAAATCTACTCTATTCACAAGCAGTTTGTTTTGAATACTATATCATATTTGGAACTTACATGAATCTCATTGTTTAATTCTTCACCTAGAAACTCTATAAACAAGCCATGGAAGAAGACAAAAAGAAAGGCTATGATTTGAGAAGTGATGCTATCCCCATTCAGGCTGCCAAAGCATCCAGGCAGATTGCCAGCGATGTAAGGAACTACTGGTTTGTTTCTTTGTGTGCTGACAGCTACTCTCTACAACCTGAAAGTTACCAACCAGATTCTATAAAAGGCATTTAAATTAAACTGTGATCTCAAAAGATAGATATTTTTGGAAGCAAATTATTATATGTTATTAAAGAAGTTAATTGTAAAAAAATTATGTTGAGAAGTTATAAGGACAACATTATGCTGCATTTATTAATTTTATAGCTCATAAATCTGTATCTTTACTTAAATCAACAGTATGTATTTTATTATATTTAATAAGGATTAAATATATTTAATAAGAGGATTATTTGTTACTAATATTAGTGAAGGGTGCTTTTTAACAAAACATGAAAAATCACTATTTAGAGTTCTAACTGAAATCTCAAAAACTTCATAGGAGAACCCATGTTATTAGCCCCAGAATTGCTTGAACAGTTTGGTTCGACTGTCGGTTACAGAGAAATTTGAAGATCTTATTATTAGAAATATTCAGTATAAGTGATGATATTTGGAGGAGCTATAGAAATACAATGTCTTGTTTTATATTTCAGTACAAGTACAAAGAAGGCTACCGCAAGCAGCTCGGCCACCACATTGGGGCCCGGAACATAGAGGATGATCCCAAGATGATGTGGTCCATGCACGTAGCCAAGATCCAGAGTGACAGGGAGTACAAGAAAGACTTTGAGAAGTCCAAGACACACTTCAGTAGCCCAGTGGACATGCTGGGCATTGTGCTGGCCAAGAAATGTCAAGGGCTGGTCAGTGATATTGATTACAAGCACTATCTGCATCAGTGGATCTGCCTGCCGGACCAGAACGACGTTATCCATGCTAAGCAAGCCTATGATCTGCAGAGTGATGTAAGCTCTTTCTGATTTAATTTCTGATGAGGAATGTATCTGATATTTTACACAGCTGGACCATGGCATTGGTAGAACCAAATTTTCAGGACTTACTTGATGACTAGTTGAAACTCAGATCTCCAGTAGGATATGGTAGCTAATTGATATGTCAGTTCTGTAATTCCAGAATTTGGGCTATCTATCATTTGCCATTCTGTGAACCTTGGGTAACAGTTTCATTCTTAAAGTAGATTAAATTAAGTTATATTTCCTAAGATTTTTTTCCATGGTTTTTAGTTTGTTTGATTTTAAATTTTTAATGAGTCTACTTAACTGTGGGAAGATGCACCTTGTAAATTACAACATTTTAATTAGAATAACCTGTGCATTTTTTTTTTGTAATAGCACTGCTACAAGTCTGACCTCGAATGGTTACGAGGCATTGGTTGGGTCCCAATTGGCTCCTTGGACGTTGAAAAAGCCAAGAAGGCAGGAGAGATCTTGAGTGATAAAATATACCGTCAGCCTCCAGACACAATCAAGTTTACCAGCGTGCCTGACTCTCTAGAGATGGTCTTAGCCAAGCAGAATGCAGAGACAATGAATAAGGTGAGTCTTGATTTGATCAGGCACCACATCAGCAGTCCCTGCCTAAGCTGAGACAGACCTATAAATACAGTGCTCATAAGTAGTGTTGAAGTTCTGAGATGATGCATTTTCAAAAAGCATGCTCTGTTTATTTCCATTCAAAATATTAGACCATGTCATGGAAGACTCATCTGTGTAATGATATTATGCATATTATATTTTAATTTATTTTTTCACATGTCTGTGCAGTAAGCAGTAAAAAATGCTTTGGTTTATTGATTACTCTTAAGCAATGTAACACTTTTCTAATTGTTGTGAAATTTCTTCGGGTAAATTCTCTGTTCAATAATGGTAGCTCTGTGTTATTAAAGACATAACCTTTAGGTATGGTATATTTCCTGTTATTTTAGTATGCTCTGTGTTTTACCTGATCAGTGAGATACTGACTTGGTTTGAAATGCAACATGAATCTCTTCTTGTATTCTTTCTTAGCGTTTATACACTGAAGCATGGAATAAAGATAAGACCACAGTTCATGTCATGCCTGACACACCAGAAATCCTGCTAGCTAAACAAAACCAATTAAACTACAGTCAGGTGAGCAAAAATGAAGAGTGAGAGAATTAAAGAGTTTCTGACAAGTGCATTGATTTCCTATTTCCAAGCGTCTACAATACAAGATCTTTGAAAATCTGGGGGGGGTTTGTTACTTTCTGGAGGATATAGAGCTGTGTTCGGATGTTTAAGCTGTCTGAACACTATTTTTTAGAGCTTATTTATTTTTTTCATTACACAGGTGTGCTTAACTGAAGTATAATTTTATTTTTTCTCACAGAAAATGTACAAACTAGCATTGGAGGAATCAAAGAAGAAAGGTCATGATTTGCGTTTTGATGCCATTCCTATTCAGTCTGCCAAAGCATCCAGAGAGATTGCCAGTGATGTAAGCAGGTTTTTTTATCATGTCTGTATGCATTTGGTAATGGAAAGGAATCTGAATGTTGGTTCCAAGTTTTGTTCATGCAACATCTTAAGTATAAAGAACAGACAATACTGAAATGCAGTGATTCTACTACATGTCTTTAGTAGATGAAAAGAATGGATGGCCAATATTTTTATGCATGAGGTAAATATCACAGTAATAAAATAAATAATATGAGGATTATTTCTATGCCCCCTGTAATAATTTAGTTGTTGCCCATGGATGTTCAAGTAGGATGATCAATAAGGTTTATGTGTCTGTGCTGGAATTAGTCAAAGTAATTCCTGATTCAAAATAGCAAATACTTTAAAATCTCTCCCCAAAATACATTTATTAGTAAATAAATCCTAAATCTTCTAAATTTTTACCTTTTCCTGATTGGTATATAAACAGTTAGTATTCAGACTGTCTTCACCAAGACATTTAAAAAAAATAATTAAGATACATTTCATTTCTAATCTTAATATTAAAAGAATATGGATTGTAAAACATGTTATTAAGTATGAGACATTAAATTATTAATGAATTGAAAGCCTGGTATCATTATATGAAAAGTCAGCGATAATTATATCTGTAAGAAAAAGCTTCTTAATGTGAACAGTAATAAAACACTAGAAAGACTTATGTAATATTTTCGTCTAAACAAAATATGGTTGTGTTAAACTGTGTGAGTTACTTACTAATCCATAAATATACCAAGGGAATATAAATATCCTCCATTTCAGTACAAGTACAAAGAAGGCTACCGCAAGCAGCTCGGCCACCACATCGGGGCCCGGAATATACAGGATGATCCCAAGATGATGTGGTCCATGCACGTGGCCAAGATCCAGAGTGACAGGGAGTACAAGAAAGCCTTTGAGAAGACAAAGACACACTTCAGTAGCCCAGTGGACATGCTGGGCATTGTGCTGGCCAAGAAATGTCAAGGGCTGGTCAGTGATATTGATTACAAGCACTACCTGCATCAGTGGATCTGCCTGCCGGACCAGAACGACGTTATCCATGCTAAGCAAGCCTATGATCCGCAGAGTGATGTGAGTAAATCATCAAATTGTTGATACATCATTAAATATACCAAGTCTTGTACAATATAATTTTAATATGCCTTAGTCACTTCTATCAGACATGCTGATGGAGGTGAAATGTTCAATATTCTATCATCAAATTTATGATAAATCTTATTTTCTGAGTCTTTAGCTTGAGGCATAATTTACATTTAACTCTGGTATCTGTGGACCTCTTCAATAACTCTATTCCTTTTGTTATTTACTAATTATTTTCCTGAATCTTCAGTAATAACAATTGTTTTCCAAACCATATCCTTCTACTATGCAGAAATATATTCAATAGTTTTTATATACTAGGATATGCTTGCTTATAATTATTTTAATATTTTATCACATTTACACACATGTAATGAACTTTCAAATTTTTTCAGGCTGTTTACAAAGCAGACCTGGAATGGCTAAGAGGTATTGGATGGGTTCCTATTGGTTCCATGGACGTTGAGAAAGCTAAGAGAGCTGGAGAAATCCTGAGTGAAAGGAAGTATCGTCAACCAGCAGACCAAATTAAATTTACTAGTGTGACAGATTCTTTGGCTATGGTCTTAGCCAAGCAAAATGCTGAGATAATGAACAAGGTGAGATTTGTATGGTTTGTTTTGTCTTCTGAAAATTAATAGTATTACTAGCTAGTAGAGACGAAAAATACAAAATAAGACTAAACCAAATTCAGCCTTTGCACTGGAAAGCTCTTACCTCAGGGCTCTGCCTGAACTGAACACTTAATAAAAATGTCCAGATAGAAAACACCACACACCTGAATCACGTATTTTTCAATAGTAATAATAAAAATAATAGTGAGTTTCCCTTTTCCTCCTATCCCATCTGAAATCCTGCTTTAAAGCATTTGTTTGATATGTTTTTTCTTTTTTGTTAGTACTAATTATCTATACAAAGCTCATCTCAGACAGAACAGGCTAAATATATTTGCAGTTCTTAGATAATACTGTGAAATCCGCAGAAATTATGTCCCAGCAAGGTGTTAGGGTATATTCAGAGGTGATGGTGCCATGACTGTGCTATGAGGTAGGATGTAGCAGAATATTGAAACTTTCACTGCAGCTGCTATAGTGATGGATTGCTGACTGAATGCCACGTTGCATGATGAGGAAATAGCTTATGTTCTCTGGGAGCGAAGCTTCTGCAATTTATCTCAGATCTGGAGGATGAAAGGCACCAAGTACCTACTCTTTCTCCTTAATAAGAAACATCAATCCAGCAGCTTGTACAGATGTGGCAGAATAATGAATATTGTTTTCCTTCTAGAGTAGTTTCTCAGCAATCCTAAATAATTGCTGTGCCAAGTTACTGAGAAACAACAAGGAAGGACAACGTTTCCTTCCTGAGTTGTTCAGTGAGAAGCTTTGTGTTTTCAAGTTACATAGAACTCGAACTTCCAATTTGTAAAATACTTTCTTTGGACAAATTTATTAGTTTGGTTATGTAGATTTTGTTCTGCGTTACTTGTCTTTTATATTATGCATATAGTTTTGGTACCTCCTGCTTTCAAATTTGCAGTCTTGCCACCATGACACATGTTAAAAAAACTTAAAGAAGGAATGTATTTTTCTCTCTCCTAGCGTTTATACACAGAGGCCTGGGATGCAGACAAGAAGTCAATTCATGTCATGCCTGACACACCGACAATTTTGTTAGCTAAGGCTAATGCAGCTAATGTCAGCCAGGTAAGACCCTTTAAACATACCCTAAAGTGATGGAAAATCAGAAATTAAGAGAGTATTTCTTTAATCATAAAGATCTAAAATATGCATTTGTGAAAATTCTAATTAAAAATATTAAATGTAGGAATTCCATCTTTCAGTATATTGAGAAACCATTTTCTGTCTTCTTTTGTGTAGAAACTTTATACACAAGCCTGGGAAGAGGCTAAAAAGAAGGGTTATGACATGAGAGCTGATGCAATTCCAATCCAAAGTGCAAAGGCATCAAGAAATATTGCGAGTGATGTAAGTTTTTCCTTTACATTTATTTTCAGTTAGCTTGAGAAACAAGAATGAAGTACCCAGCTATGTACAAGATGAAAAATAGTGTATCAGGTTCTTCCTGAATTCTTCTAAGAAACAATTCATCACAAAAAGAAAATGGGCTACACTTTCCAAAAGGAACTTTGACATTAAGCAGATATTTAAAAAAATAAGAATAATTAAAATGCAAATAAAGAGAGGAAGTGGAGCAAGAATGTACTAGGCATTTCTAAACTCTACATGAGTATATGCCATAGCATAAAAAAATGTATTCATAGTAATATAAAATAATGGAAAATTCATCCCAAATTCGCTATTTCTCTTCATACCTCTGTTTACATTTCCAGTACAAGTACAAAGAAGCACACGAGAAGCAGAAAGGCCACTACATTGGGTGCAAAACTGCCCAGGAGGACCCCAAGCTGTCGTGGGCTGCGCGTGCCATGGCGCTGCAGAACGACCGGATTTACAGGAAGGCCTACCATGATTCCAAGGCCCAGGTGCACATCCCAGTGGATGCCATGTCAGTGCAGGCAGCCAAGGAGTGCCAGACACTCGTCAGTGACATTGACTACCGCCAGTACCTGCACCAGTGGACGTGTCTGCCTGATCAGAATGATGTGATCCATGCGAGGAAGGCCTATGACCTGCAGAGCGATGTGAGTAACTCTAGAAGAGCTTTGTGGCAAGTGTGTGAGGCTCTCTTTGTAAGTGATTGGGCAAATATCCTTTCAAATACATGTTGAGGTGCCTGCAGTCAGTTCTGGTTTGTCTGTTTTTCATCTTCTGGATGATCCCTGTCAAGTTAGTAGTGTTTTCAGCTAGTGGGGACAGACGTATTCCAGGCAGTTTCTATGGATGGGAAACATAATGTATTTCTGATGTTGTCTTGGTCAGCCACAGCATGATTGCTTGCAGGTTACACCACTGATCTGTATGTGGCCAGTACACTTAAGAATGAGTACTTTCACTGCTGTGCAAAACAGGGCTTTTGCTGTGTGTGGAGGAGCTGGCACACCTCAGTGTCATTGCCTGCTTGCTGTGTAACCGAAGAAGAAGGAGCCTGGGGAAAGCCTTGCACCAGACCTCTCTGTACTTGGGGTTGTCTCTGCAACGTCAATAACCCTTGGTCAATTTCTAGAACGTGTACAAGTCAGACCTGGAATGGTTGCGAGGCATTGGCTGGCTGACAGAAGGTTCAGTAGATGTGGTGAAGGCCAAGAAAGCCCAGGAGCTGCTGAACGAGAGGCTGTACCGCGTGCGGCCCGACGAGATGAAGTTCACCAGCATCACTGACGCGCCAGACGTCGTCCAGGCAAAGATCAACGCCGCGCAGCTCAGCGACGTAAGCTCGCCTTTTGCTTGCCTCTCACTGGTGGGACAACCTTTCCTGTCTTTGTGCTAGAGACTAGAATTTCTAGCCTGGGAATGCTTACTTGGACACTATTGCAACTCAGAAGGACCCAAGGATCCCTGTTGGTGGGTTCTTGTCAGTGTTCAGACCATAGTGAAATGTTCCTCTGCCTCTTTTCTCCTCAGCGTCTGTATCGTGAAGCCTGGGACAAAGACAAGACACAAGTCTGCCTGCCTTCTGACACTCCTGTCATGCTGCAGTCCAAAGTCAATGCCCTCAACATCAGCAACGTAAGAGAATAAAATTATATACATGTGAAGCATGTTGAAATTAAGAATATAATACTTTTTCTTCCAGAGTAGATTTGAAAAGGTATTGTTTATGAGAGAGTCTTGACTGCATGTAACAAGGGTGATCACTCTTCCTTGCAGAAACACTATCAGAAGGACTGGGATGCAGCCAAGGCAAAGGGCTATGACCTAAGAGCTGATGCCATTCCCATCAAACATGCCAAGGCTTCCAGAGACATCGCTAGTGAGGTACGGTCTGGTTCTCCTCTTCACGTGCTTGCTGTGTCTTGCTCCACGGAACTGAGTGGAGTTCAAAGGCTTGGCAACTGATGATGCTGAAAGATGAGTTCTTCAGACTCGTTGGTACACATGTGAGCAAGATGTGACTGTTGACATTGTTTCTGCTTTTCCAGTACAAGTACAAAGAAACCCATGAGAAGCAGAAAGGCCACTACATTGGGTGCAAAACTGCCCAGGAGGACCCCAAGCTGTCGTGGGCTGCACGTGCCATGGCGCTGCAGAACGACCGGATTTACAGGAAGGCCTACCATGATTCCAAGGCCCAGGTGCACATCCCAGTGGATGCCATGTCAGTGCAGGCAGCCAAGGAGTGCCAGACACTCGTCAGTGACATTGACTACCGCCAGTACCTGCACCAGTGGACGCCCTTATAGTCTGACTTGCAATTCAGTTCCTGAATTTTTGCAGTCATCAAAAACAAACTAAAAAGTGTGTCATTTAGCCACCTGTACTAATGATAAAGTTGCCAGCTGGGCTGACCAAGCTTCTTTGGATCAAGATACCACTAAACAAGGAGTCCTGGTATTCTGGGGTTCAATGTCCTGGACAGATTGGGTGTCTCCAGACACATGAAAAGAATTTGGTCTCCGTTCAGTCTTTCAAATGGACTGAGCCTCTCTGCCTACACTTATTTTCCCGATAGGGCTAAAAAAGGCTGGTAAAGCAATAAGTCTCTAGCAGCTGACAGGAGGCTCCATAACTTAAGTAGGGTCAGGATGCATTTTGTCAGCAGAACAGATGTTTTGTCCCCAGTAGATATGATTCTGCAATCAGGTGTGTGCAAACAGAACTTCTGACTGTTGTAGGGTGATGCACAGTTCAGTGTTGGCCATGGAGGTGTACAGTGTGTCAGCTGGACTGCCTGTTTGGTGCCTGTGTGGAGAGCTCACACGTGTGGTCAGCAGTAGCCTGTTAGAGGGGATGTCCTGGTGTGTTTTCAGGCATATTTCAACCCCCTCCTTGTGTTTTGGAATTTGCCCCTGCTTTAACATTTATGTCATAAGTTTTCTGTAAAGACACTCACCAGGTTCATAATGTTAACCCTGCCAGATACAGCGGGCAAACAGAGCACCCAAGCTGCTAATTCCAAGGGAGCACAGTTTGAGAAAAGTCATTGGTGTGAGAGAGTCTTGACTGCATGTAACAAGGGTGATCACTCTTCCTTGCAGAAACACTATCAGAAGGACTGGGATGCAGCCAAGGCAAAGGGCTATGACCTAAGAGCTGATGCCATTCCCATCAAACATGCCAAGGCTTCCAGAGACATTGCTAGTGAGGTACAGTCTGGTTCTCCTTTTCATGTGCTTGCTGTGTCTGTCTATTTCTGTGTCCCGCTCCAGAGAACTGAGCAAAGTGGAGTTCAAAGGCTTGGCAACTGAGGGTGCTGAAAGATGAGTTCTTCAGACTCGTTGGTACACAGGTGAGCAAGATGTGGCTGTTGACATTGTTTCTGCTTTTCCAGTACAAGTACAAAGAAACCCACGAGAAGCAGAAAGGCCACTACATTGGGTGCAAAACTGCCCAGGAGGACCCCAAGCTGTCGTGGGCTGCGCGTGCCATGGCGCTGCAGAACGACCGGATTTACAGGAAGGCCTACCATGATTCCAAGGCCCAGGTGCACATCCCAGTGGATGCCATGTCAGTGCAGGCAGCCAAGGAGTGCCAGACACTCGTCAGTGACATTGACTACCGCCAGTACCTGCACCAGTGGACGTGTCTGCCTGACCAGAACGACGTGATCCATGCGAGGAAGGCCTATGACCTGCAGAGCGATGTGAGTAACTCTAGAAGAGCTTTGTGGCAAGTGTGTGAGGCTCTCTTTGTAAGTGATTGGGCAAATATCCTTTCAAATACATGTTGAGGTGCCTGCAGTCAGTTCTGGTTTGTCTGTTTTTCATCTTCTGGATGATCCCTGTCAAGTTAGTAGTGTTTTCAGCTAGTGGGGACAGACGTATTCCAGGCAGTTTCTATGGATGGGAAACATAATGTATTTCTGATGTTGTCTTGGTCAGCCACAGCATGATTGCTTGCAGGTTACACCACTGATCTGTATGTGGCCAGTACACTTAAGGATGAGTACTTTCACTGCTGTGCAAAACAGGGCTTTAGCTGTGTGTGTGGAGGAGCTGGCACACGTCAGTGTCATTGCCTGCTTGCTGTGTAACCGTAGAAGAAGGAGCCTGGGGAAAGCCTTGCACCAGACCTCTCTGTACTTGGGGTTGTCTCTGCAACGTCAATAACCCTTGGTCAATTTCTAGAACGTGTACAAGTCAGACCTGGAATGGTTGCGAGGCATTGGCTGGCTGACAGAAGGTTCAGTAGATGTGGTGAAGGCCAAGAAAGCCCAGGAGCTGCTGAACGAGAGGCTGTACCGCGTGCGGCCCGACGAGATGAAGTTCACCAGCATCACTGACGCGCCAGACGTCGTCCAGGCAAAGATCAACGCCGCGCAGCTCAGCGACGTAAGCTCGCCTTTTGCTTGCCTCTCACTGGTGGGACAACCTTTCCTGTCTTTGTGCTAGAGACTAGAATTTCTAGCCTGGGAATGCTTACTTGGACACTATTGCAACTCAGAAGGACCCAAGGATCCCTGTTGGTGGGTTCTTGTCAGTGTTCAGACCATAGTGAAATGTTCCTCTGCCTCTTTTCTCCTCAGCGTCTGTATCGTGAAGCCTGGGACAAAAAGACAAGACAAGTCTGCCTGCCTTCTGACACTCCTGTCATGCTGCAGTCCAAAGTCAATGCCCTCAACATCAGCAACGTAAGAGAATAAAATTATATACATGTGAAGCATGTTGAAATTAAGAATATAATACTTTTTCTTCCAGAGTAGATTTGAAAAGGTATTGTTTATGAGAGAGTCTTGACTGCATGTAACAAGGGTGATCACTCTTCCTTGCAGAAACACTATCAGAAGGACTGGGATGCAGCCAAGGCAAAGGGCTATGACCTAAGAGCTGATGCCATTCCCATCAAGCATGCCAAGGCTTCCAGAGACATCGCTAGTGAGGTACAGTCTGGTTCTCCTCTTCACGTGCTTGCTGTGTCTTGCTCCACGGAACTGAGTGGAGTTCAAAGGCTTGGCAACTGATGATGCTGAAAGATGAGTTCTTCAGACTCGTTGGTACACATGTGAGCAAGATGTGACTGTTGACATTGTTTCTGCTTTTCCAGTACAAGTACAAAGAAACCCATGAGAAGCAGAAAGGCCACTACATTGGGTGCAAAACTGCCCAGGAGGACCCCAAGCTGTCGTGGGCTGCACGTGCCATGGCGCTGCAGAACGACCGGATTTACAGGAAGGCCTACCATGATTCCAAGGCCCAGGTGCACATCCCAGTGGATGCCATGTCAGTGCAGGCAGCCAAGGAGTGCCAGACACTCGTCAGTGACATTGACTACCGCCAGTACCTGCACCAGTGGACGTGTCTGCCTGACCAGAACGACGTGATCCATGCGAGGAAGGCCTATGACCTGCAGAGCGATGTTAGTATGTGTAGAGATGTGGTAGTTAGTACTGTTACTATCTAATATATTATCATCTTGTTTTGATTGATTGATTTTATATAGTTACAAGGATTTATCTTTAGACTGTTTTGTTCAGTTTTTCTTATTATTGCTGTTATCCGCTCCTTTTATCCTTTAAAAAGTTTTGGCATTCCCTCTAAATTTTATAGAAGCTTTTGTTGTAATCTGCTATGTTACATATCCTTTTGGAGGACTGTGGTTTGGAAAGGATAAAAATTTTCTCTCTCTTACTTTGATGGAACTTAAGAAATACCATCTGTTTGCAACTTCACTATTTTACTCCTGTTTATCTGAGCCAACTTGGCAATGTATGTGATTGTACAAAAAAACATGTAAGATCACGGATAAGATGTTTTAGTGGCTGATTTCAAAGCAGGAGGAGTCAGTGGAGCTGATTTCCTGACTTAATTTTGCTACTAAACAGTCAATTTTGGGCACTATTGCTCTGTTTCACTTATGTGCTTTTGAGGTGAGAGCATATTCCTGGCTGATGGATTTGCTTAATTAAAACTTAACTAATGTTGCCTGTTACCACTTCAGGAGTTATGCCAGTTAGCTCTAGTCCCTGTTACCTCTTTGCTAATCTTTTTCTTAAATGTCCTGATGGGCAGGTTTGGTTTTTATTTGGACTTGTAGATTGTTGAAGTATCTAGAGAAGTATTTTGGATGGAACAGGTTGACTCTAAAGATGTTAATAATAATAATTAATGGCAATTCTGTTCAGTTTCTTCCCCTGCGTTTGCATAAGGTTTAGAATGTGTTGTTTAAGAAATGAACTACTTAAAATCTGGTTCCCAGATTGTATTTTGCTTATGACACTGAGCATCTCTAGTATATAAAAAAGATTCATCTAGCTCTAGCTGATTTGACATTTGCTAAAACATATACTGCTTAAAATTCTTAAAATAATTGAAAAGCTTGAAACTGTTAAGACAGTAATTTTCAACTCAATGCTTTCCTTGTCTGTCTATGTCTGATACAGGCTGTTTATAAGTCGGACCTAGAATGGCTCCGTGGAATTGGCTGGTTGCCTAATGACTCCCCAGAAGTTAAGAGGGTGAAGCAAGCCCAGGACCTCCTGAGTGACAACGTGTATCGTACCCCCATTGACAGCCTGAAATACACCAGTGTTGTGGATTCTCCAGACGTCGTCCTGGCCAAAGCCAACGCCGAGCAAGTCAGCATTGTACGTGTCACCTTCTGAAAGCTGAGTCAAAGCTGGACATGGTGAAAGAGAGATCTCACTGCTAAAATACCTTCTTGATCAGTGGGGTTTTAAGTCCAGTTTAATGCTTTTTCAGACTCTTTATTTTCTAGTGATGATAATTCAGGAGAGATTTATGGGATGTTATGTCATTGATAAGTGAAATTCTACAATAACAGTATCATATAATGAACTATTTTAACAGCCGAAATACAAAGAAGCCTGGGAAAAAGACAAGACTATGATCCATATTATGCCAGATACACCTGAAATCAACCTAGCCAAAACTAATGCTGCAAATTATAGCCAGGTATGTTTATCATTATATTTTCTACATTTCTATAAAACAGTATGTGTATCCTGTAAATGTTATCAACCTAAAATGTTAGATAAAAAGACGAAAATTAAGATCCCTGAATCTCATTGAAGTCTGTCCTCCCACAGGGCTTGCAACATTCCCTTCCCTCTGCTGAGTATTCTTAAAGTACTTAGACATTTTAAAATAAATGCTTGTATACAGCTGTTCGAAAATTATTAATATAATGCACAACTGAGATAATATTTTGTTGAAATGGATGAGACCCCAAGGCATATAAATGTTCTGACAACTTTTACAAACACCCTTGTATTCAGCACAGGCCAGAAAACTGGTATTGCAGGTACCATACATGTGTGAAAGGCAGTAAGATTGGCAGCAGTTTTTGTGCTAGGAGCAGGAGGAAAGCACAAGAAATCCTCACAGTATTTCAGCAAATGGCAGTAAGCTATGTATTAATGGTAAATGCCAGAGTATTTTGCCAATGTGTGATTTTTTGCTGTCTTTTCAGAAACTGTACAAAGAAGCTTGGGATGAGTTGAAGCTGAGCTATGATTTGAGAGCAGATGCAATCCCAATTAAAGCAGCCAAAGCTTCCAGGGAAATTGCTAGTGATGTAAGTGCCAAAAGAAACATCTAGCTCTTCACATGCTTTAAGAGCTGCTTCATGGTAACTGTTAGTAACGGCCATCTTTGCTCTTCACCCAGTATAAATACAAACTGGATCACGAGAAGCAGAAAGGACACTATGTTGGAGTTCCAAATGCAAAAGCAGATGTCAAAATAGATTTTGCCCTGGGCATAGGCAAAGTTCAGAGTGAACTAGAATACAAGAAACACTTTGCCAAATGGAAGACACAGTGCCACTTGCCAGTAGACATGGTGTCTATCGTATCAGCTAAGCATGGTCAGTCCTTGGTCAGTGATGTTGATTACCGCCATTACTTGCACCAATGGATCTGTCTTCCAGACCAGAACGATGTCATACATGCTAGGAAAGCTTATGATCTTCAGAGTGATGTAAGTTAAGATGAAATTTGGCTTAATTTATTACTGTATTGCCTCTTCTTAATCTGCTTCAGTTCCAAGTGGTGGGAATCTTCTGCTGAATTCAGTGAATTGGCTTGGCTGTTTATTTGGAATGCAAAGTATGTGCCCCTGTTATATATTGCCAGGTTTGAAGTGTGATAAATTCAGATATAGTGCTCATGTTGGACTTAACTGCACTCCTTTTAATCAGTGAAAATAAGTTTCATTATTTATGAATCTTGCTGGGTTGTACAGGGAACTGTAACTAACAGCATGAACCTAAATTTTGCTTTTCCAGGCTGTTTACAAAGCTGATTTAGAATGGCTACGGGGAATTGGATGGTTGCCAAATGATTCAGTTGGGATCAACCACGTCAAATACGCTGGAGATCTCTTGAATGAGGTAAAATGTATTTTTTAATACTAGAATTTTCTTACAGGTATTTATAATTTAAAATATTTGTAATGGCTAAATACATTCACTTCTTTTTAATAAAAAACACAACTTGGCTGTTTCCACAGTATTCATTGTGTATGGAGAGCTTTTCTTTCCATATAAACTTTCTTGTCTTGTCCATGTATTCAGAATTTTGATGTTAGTTATAAAATAATCTGGTATAATCTGACTGTTCATCTTTTCTCTTCTGTAGAGAAAGTACCGTACAAAAGCCGAAACTCTTCCCTTTACTCCCGTGGCAGACAGGGTTGATTATGTCACAGCAAAGAATAGTGGTGAAATTCTCAGTCAGGTAAGTTTGTTAGCATGTTTCTAGGCTGTTAACTTGATCTGTATACATGGTAGGATTTTATCTTTATTAGAATATTTATTTTATCTTTTAAAAAAATGCAAAGGAATACTTTATTAGTCTCTGAGAATTCTGAGTATGTGTGACATAAAGATGAACAGGACTCACTAGTTCATCACTTATGAGGGAAGAAGATCCTCAAGGAGGACATGTGAAAAGCCAGTCCCTTCTCTCAGTCTTCCTTCCATCCTTCCCTGCCCATTCAGCTGCCTTGAAACAAGTTTTCAAAACTTTATCTGAGAAATTTTCTGATTTTTCTTCTCTTTAATGATTCCCTTTTTTAAAATTACCCATTTGGATGTATCTTATTTCATACCTAAAATACGGGTCTTAGCATTACATTTTCCCTGTTTTGTGATGGTGCTGAAGGGCAGTAACTTCTTTTTCTGTTCTAGATTAAATACCACAAAGCATGGAATGAAGCCAAGTCCAATTACACTCTGACAGACACACCACAGCTAGATATGGCCCGAGAGGCAGCCAGAATTCTTAACCAGGTATGTGACCTCTCCAGCCTTATTAAGACCATCCCAAAGGAAGGATTTGTTAGCCTTCTACTTCAATATAGGTTACCTAAATGCAATAATTGTTCTCATTATAGCAGTGTTGAATTGCTCCTTGCTTCTGTTTTCCACAGAATTTGTACAAGGAAAGTTGGGAGAAAGAAAAAGCCACCGGTTACATCTTACCACCTGACACTGTGCAGCTCTCTCATGCAAAACGCTCAAATGATGTCCAAAGTGAGGTAATAATTCTTCTCATTAGGAAGGCAAATGCTTGGAAACCTGGAAATGTTAAAGGCTTTGCAAATTCAACAACAGACGGAGAGAGGTTATTGTTAGGGCTAACATCCTATAGGCTTTTCAGCACCCGTGAAGTCCACTGTCCTCCAAACAATTCACCCATCTTTGCTATGATGGGCTTTTTGGAAATCAATGCTGAAATTTCAGATTCTCCTTTTGACCTTTACTTTCTCCAGAAAGTCCTTTCAAAATCAACCAGGGTGGACTTGTATGTTTTATAGGTATTAAATAACTGAAGTGATACTATGATTATAAAATATAGCTCTGATTTAACTCTTGGGTATATTATGGAGGATTCCTTCTTTAAAAATTGTAAGCTCACATGCACATTGCAAAAACATTTGCATGATGTATGTCAAAATTATTATGTGACTCTTGATTGGAATATACGTTTCATCAAAATATTGTGATATAAATAGCTTTAATAGCCATCCACTCTTCAGAAAATTTTAAATAATTAACAAAAATTTGTTACAGAACTGAGGCTAAACACACATATTAGCAAATATTTTCTACCAAGGCTTTTCTCTTGTGTTGAAAATACTGTTTACTGAAAAACAGTATATATTTTGAAGTAGGAAGACTGTATAAAGTAATAAATAAAGTTTGTCTTGTATTTTTTTATCTGGTCATGTACTGAAAACCCAAGACTGCAGTTGCCAACCTCCTGTCTCATCTGTTCTTTGTGTTGACAAAACCTTTACTGTTCACAGGTTAAAAACAGAGCAGATATGATCATTCCTGACTTTATATGTGTTTCTCCCCTCTTCCACCAGCTCAAATACAAAGCTGAATATGTCAAACAAAGAGGTCACTATGTTGGCGTTCCCAGTATGAGAGATGATCCGAAACTGGTCTGGTTTGAGCACGCGGGTGAGATCCAGAATGACAGATTGTACAAATCAGACTACCACAAAACCAAGTCCAAAATCCACATCCCTCCAGATGCAGTGTCAGTGGTAGCAGCCAAGGAAGGTCAGGCCTTGGTCAGCGACATCGACTACCGCCAATACCTGCATGAATGGACCTGCCATCCTGACCAGAATGACTGTATTCAGGCCAGGAAGGCCTACGATCTGCAAAGTGATGTGAGTGATATTATTCCATGCATGCCATGTAACTGCCACTTAGTTTGGGCAAGTATATTGCCCATATTATGAAAGACTGAAAAATGTAATCCTGAATTTAAAAAGTTCTTTCCTTTTTTATTAACCTCTGTGATTTAGAACGTTTATAAATCTGATTTGGAGTGGCTTCGTGGCTGTGGTTGGATTCCTCTGGATTCAGTGGAACACAAGAAGGTTAAGAATGCACAAGAACTGGTAAATAAGGTAAGAGAAAAATTTGTAGCAGTTATGTGATGAGCTCTTCTTTCTCAAGCACAGTGTTTAAGAAAATGTTTCATCTCTTTGCAGAGAGCATATACAAAAGAAGCCCTGGATAACTTCTCCAACTACACCAGTGTGGTTGACACTCCCGACATTGTTTTGGCAAAGATGAACTCTGTCAATCAGAGTGATGTATGTCCTTTTGTAAAAAATAGAACCTGTTATATTATGAGAATTAGTAGATGACTTAATTGCTTTTACTAAACTATCCTATGCTTAGTCTTACATGTGTATGTGCAAATATATTCTTCATTAACCGTAGACTGGGGTGAATAACTTTAGTAAGAAGCAGTATAAGCTAACAATACCATATTGCTATCCAAAAAGATTTGGCATTTTCCCTTATTTAGAGGTTACATAGATCTTGCTTATAATAGTTTAAAACTGAGTCCTGCTTTTCGTGAACAGCAGCTAGTTGTACAGTGGTAGTGGAATTCTGGTTGTTGCTACTGATGGGTATTTGCTGATCAAGATGTTTAATTTCATTAGACTACTCTGTGGATGTTGTGGTGTGACATACTGGTGACATTTGCCTGGGTACTGTAGTGCTTGGAATGTACTACACAACATTACTAAAGATATGATAACATAACAGAAAATTAATGCCTACTGCTAATAGATGGACTAGTGGGGATCATTTATTTTTCCCATGGAATTAACATTGTATTTGTTTTCTCTTGTAGCTCAAATACAAAGAAACATTTAACCTTGAGAAAGGCCAGTATATTGGGTCTGATGATACCCCTACGATGAACCATGCCAGAGACATGTCCTTACTCTACAGTGATGTAAGATTTGATAAATGTTGAACTAAGCTTTAATTTGTTTATCTTGAAAGCAAGAGAATGTGGAGTGGATTTCAGAAAACTGTTTTATTTCTCTTTCTGTCTTTAGTCTACTGAGTGGCACTGGGAAAGTTATTTAATCCCTTTGTTCTTTGGTTTTTCCCCAGTTTGGATCATTGGGATAAGGAGTTTCTGTCACAAAATCACTTTGTAATTTCATTCAATAGTATCTTTCTAGACTACTGATAAAATTTACATTTATTTTTTTACAAGAGAGGAAAATTGTAGATGTACATTATTAAACAGCTCCTTTTTTAGTAACATCACTAATTCACTAAATAACTAATGGGAAATCTATTTTTTTTCAATGTAAGTGACTACTTGTTCATACAAGTAGGCACTTCAACATTTAGTCTGAAGGTAATATATTAAACACACATAATATTTAACAAAACATGATGCATTAAAGTCCCTTCCAGCCCTAGCCATTCTATTAGAAAAGTGCCACTGACACAATAAATGATTTTATTATAAACAATAGTATTACTTGAAGATTGTGCACAATTTTGGACATTCATCTATAAATTACCAAGTTCAGTTCAAAACTGCACTTGTAAGCAAAAGTCCATCACTACATTTTGGTTGTTTGTGTTGCTTTTCTGGATGAGAAATGTTGAATTGCAAATACAGTAAAGAAAGCAGAGATCATCTAAAGTTTGTGCTCCTGAATTGAAACACTCACCTTGTTTGCCTCACTCACACTGAGTCAGTCTTCAAAATGAGCATTCTTCATTTACTTTAGTGGGACAACTCATGGAATAAAAAAATACTCTACAAAAGTAGCAATATTCCACGAGTGTATAAAAGGCAGAGTCAGGTTTCTCAGAAAGTTGATTGGATTTTTAAATCAAAACTTCTATGCTTTTTGTTTGTCCAGAAACTTTATAAGAATGCTTGGGAAGTTAGCAAGCCCACTGGGTATTCTCTGGACGACAAGTACGTTCCACTGGTCGGAGCGAAGCACGCGAACTACATAAACAGTGAGGTTAGCAGGAATTTGCCATCATTTCTCTTTTTACCCTTTGTCCACTACATGTGGTTAGGATGAACTTTTGAAATTTCCACATGACTGTTTTTCAGCTCAAATACAAGGCAGTATATGAGAAGTTGAAAGGCCATTACCTGGCCGGGAAGGAGATCGGTGACTTCCCCAGTGTCATTCACTCCCTGGCCTTCCAGAAGATGAGGAGCGCGGTAAGGAGAGAGAGAGGCTGGCTGTAGGATCTTCACTCCTCTTTATTGTAGTGTGACATATTTAAACACCAATAATGCAATGCTTGATGACATTAGTAAAAGGGCTTTCACCATGTTTACAGTCCCTGAATGGTTGTTTTGTACCTGGGTTGGATAATTTAACTTCAAACTACTCAGAAGATTAAGGAGGGATTTGTTTTACTATTAGAAATACTAAAATAGGAAAAAAAACCCCTTTTTTCCATTTCATTCTAAGTGTCTGAGCAGTATAAAACAGTTGGGATTCTTTCACTTTACAAAGAAAAATGTGTTAACTTGGACTTGAAATAGGAATCTAAGAACTGGAAAGGAGGTTAGAACTAGATGATCTTTAAGGTCTCTTCCAACCTTAACCGTTCTATGGTTCTGTGAGTCAGTGGAAACCAGATGCCTGCTTCATGTTGGTTATTATCATCACTGTACATATAGTGCACGAAGTCAGTATAATCCCAAACATTCTGTCTTCATTTGAACAGGATGATTTAACCAGATTAAAAATGTGTTTGTAGCATAAGACTTTTTGATCTTGAAGTCTTGTTAGTTTTCTCATCAGCTGTTAAATCTGCAAGTGAAGGAAGTCATTCTTGTCCTCCTAGAACCTCCTCAGAATAAATGGTGATTAATATTGAAGTTCAGATTTCATTCTATTGAATCCCATAGGAGTTTATCTACTAAATCCAGAAATCATGGCTCAGATTATGCTATAACCTGCAGCCTCTTGGAGACAAAATCACACAGAAAAACACTATTCTCTCATCACCTTTTCCCCAATCTTTCCCTTTTAGCTGGAGTACAGAAAGAACTATGAAGACACCAAAGCACATGTCCATATTCCAAGTGACATGATGAATCACGTGCTAGCCAAGAAGTGTCAGTACATCCTCAGTGACCTTGAATACCGACATTACTTCCATCAGTGGAGTTGTTCACCTGAAGAAAATGATGTTATTCATGCCAGGAGAGCCCAGGAAATTTTGAGTGATGTATGTGTTTCAATATTATTTTTTTTTGCTTGAAATTTTAGTAGCCTTTCCTGTAGTGTTTTCCACAGTATTTAAGTAAAAAATAATTTCAAGTGTCTTCCATATTATTTAAATATGAAGTTAATAACCATGGTCTTAGATTGTTTAGCCTTGTTCAATGTTTGCACAAGTGGAAGCTACTGAATATAGAGAAGGGGAAAAAAAAAATTGCTTTCTTCAAGCAGACAGCAAGTTTCTTCCTAACTTAATGCTGTTTTTTTCCATATAGGTGGTGTATAAAGATGACTTAAATTGGCTGAAGGGACTTGGATGTTATGTTTGGGATACTCCACAAATCCTGCATGCTAAAAAGTCCTATGACCTCCAGAGCCAAGTAAGCTTGTTTTCCTCAAGGAAGTAAATATTTGTAAGATTTTTTTCTTCTGTTTATGCTTCACTGGGACTGATATATGTCCTAGTCCCAGAGCAGAATTAAGTAATTCCTATTACATTAGAAATATTTCATTAAAACTATTATAATACGCTCTTTCAATTTCATCTTTAGAGACATGATCATGTTTGTTATTCATGGAGCCAAAAACTTAGCAGAATGAAAGGACAGCAAGATTGTGATTTTTTAACAGTGGGAAGATGGCACTTTGTCTTTCTGCATGTCATGTTGGGCACAAGATACCCCAGTGTGTCTTGCCTTGCTGATTGTACTCTTATGCTATATAGAGATGTGCAATTTTCATTATTCCTTAGTTCATACTGCCTATGTATTAATAATTTATTTTCTATTTTCTGTCATTTTTCAAGTTGGTTTTAACTGATCCATAATCCTGAGCTTCAGTTGTCCAGAACTGACTTTAAAGGAAGCTGGTGGGGAATTCCCCGTTTTCAGCATTTGTTTTTCTTGTTTTGTTCTGTTTCCCTAGATCAAATACACAGCTGCAGGAAAAGAGAATTTCCAGAACTTTGGTGTTGTTACTGACACCCCTGTCTATGTGACTGCAGTGCAGAGTGCTCTCAATGCCAGCGACGTGAGTCTCCCTGCTTTTCCTACTCAGGCTTTTCCCTCTGCTCCTCCTGAGATTTGAAACAAGTTGACTAGATATGTCTTTTCCTTCACAGGTCAAATACAAGGCAGATTACCATAAAACTAAGGACAAGTATACAACTGTGACTGAAACAGTGGAGTATGAAAGAGTGCAAAACTTGAAACATCTCTTTAGCAATGTAAAGTTTCTTTTTTTTTTTTTTATTTATCTCCCTAAAAGTGCTACTATGTGAGAGTTCCATTTTGTTTGTTCACTGTGTTTGAAGATAAACACCCAAATATGGAGCTTCTCAAAGCCAGTGACAGCCCTCTGCATTGCTTGAGTGAAGGGAAGGTGCCCTATTTCAGGCACAGGGCCTATTTTCTAACTGTAGCTCTAGTCTGATCAAAATATATGCATTAATAAATGGATTCTCTGAAGATAACTCACTTGAACAAAGTTAAGACCTTGTAGGAGAATGGCCATTGATAGTTACAAAGCATTTTTATCACCTTTTAAATACACTGTTAAAAGTAAACTAGTGTTTAATCTTGAGATTAAATAGTAATTATGGTGTATAAATAAAACCAGAAAGGCTTTTGATTTCTGGTGGTCATTGATGACTACTCAGGAGAAGAATTTTTAATATTTACACTCAGAGAGACTTTTTGTTTCCCCACAGAACCTCTACAAGGAAGCCTGGGAAAAAGTGAAAGCTACTGGCTATATAATGCCCTCAGATGCTGTATCCCTAGCACGTGCCAAAGAACTAAAGCATAATGCTAGCATTGTAAGTGAATAAATCCTTCCTTTTTTAAATCACATCATCAATTCTAGCAAAGAAATCCTTCATGCCTTGCATACACTATAGATATAAAAAAGGAGGCTTTAAATTGTCATCTGTTATTAATTTAGATGTAAGATGTATCTGTAGATAAACAGTTTTCTGTGATAATAATCTGGGCAACTATCAGGTAGGTAGTCCCTTGCTGCTTCTTTTAATGCAAAAAAATATAATCAAGATTTATAGTAATATAAAACTGTTTCTTGAAAATGTCTGGTTACATGTTAGTCAAAATTGCATAAACATCCAGGTCAGAAAAATACCAAATATTACACTTTAGTGAACTGAGGCTTATGAGAGATCACACTCTCCATAAATATCTTTAAGGACCTGCAACAATAAATAAATAGCTTATTCTACATCTATTTCTTTTTAGTCTTCTAGTCAGCTGTTGTTATTTTTACAACATGATAGTTATGAAGTTTTCCTTGCCATCTAAAATAAAATAAAAACCCCAAGATTCTGCTTTAAAGATTTCCTCTGCTTGTTGGACTCTACTAATTATTTTGCTTACTGATTAACTGTGTTCCAAAAATCCAGTTGCCTCATTGAAGTCAGTTATTTGTTGCTTTTCTTTGCACCTGCTTAGGTAAAATACCGAGAAGAATATGACAAGTTTAAAGCACTGTACACCCTCCCCAGAGGTGTTGAGGATGATCCCAATACAGCAAGGTGCCTTAGAGTTGGAAAGCTTAATATTGATGTAAGTGTTGTTTTGTTGTCTGTGTTTTCCTGATAAAACCATAGTTACCTCAGAGGAGGCTACTCAAAGAATCCACGTGCCTTTATTCAATTATCACATTTCCACATGCATTTGGCAGTGGTCAGGATCTGCTAAACTCTATAATACACCTACAAATGTCTTTTCAAGCCAGTGATCCAACTGTTCAATTGCCTGCGTGGCTAAACCTTTAGGGCAATACTATATAAAATGCAGTATATAAAAAGTGCAATACTGTATAAAATGAAGTACTACATAGTCTACCTCACATAGTAGAGTGAAAATTTGAGGAATAATATTTTATCATGCTTGTTAAGGTTCTGCAAATCATTTTTAAAGCAGGCAGGATGTACATTTTAGTCACAGCCTGAGTGATTGCTTTTCCCATTAACATTCCATGAAAATATCAGTAAGTTTGCTTCAAATTTATCAACAGTTAATGCTTCAGACTATCTGTCAGTGTGATTAATATCCTGCTTTAACTCTGCAGCGTCTGTACAAGGAGGGCTATGAGAAGACTAAAGCCAAAGTCCACATCATTCCAGACATGGTAGACATAATTGCTTCTAAGGATGCACAGAAGAAAATTAGTGAAATTGATTACCGCACACGTCTCCACGAGTGGATCTGTCTGCCAGACCTTCAGATCAATGCCCATGTTCGAAAAGTAACTGATCAGCTCAGTGATGTAAGTTCACAAATCACCCCCTTGTGGCTTTATAAAAAGATGATTGTATTTATGCTCTGCTGGGGGCAATTATTTAGCACAAACTTGGTTGGAACACCCTGAAGTCGCCACTCGAATTATGTGCTGCTAAACTGCATCTGCATCATGTTTTTATAGCTTTTGGCAGCAAGTGTGTAGTCAAAATGTGGCTCAGTGTGCAACTCTGCAGTGCTAGCACTGACATTGCATCCTTACATCACAGTTCTACCAGGCCAGCATCCCTGTCTGCACATTGTTCTCTATTATTTGGTTGCAGAAGATGTGGAAACTTTGGATGTCTGAGAAAATCCTGGTGGTGTAAAGCTTCTATTCACTTGGCTTGCATAGGTCAGCCCAGGGATCCATCAGTAAATCATTGCCCAGGAGGGTGTGCAAGTAGTTTGTTTTTTTTTTTAATCATTGGGATTTTTAATTTATTGTCCAAACTGAAACAATGAAGAAAAGTGATTTAAATTCCAAAATTAATAGGTTTGGGTTTCTCCAACCAAAAAAAAAAGGGTTAAAATACTAGAAACCCTACTTGCCATCCATCATTGGACAGTTGTGTTTCACACTGGTTTAGCAATAAGGGATTAGATCCTGATGGAAGTCTTACAGATTGCTTTTTTGCTCTTATACCTTAGGTCGTGTACAAGGATGATCTTAACTGGCTGAAAGGCATTGGCTGCTTTGTCTGGGACACCCCTGAAATTCTCCATGCCAAACATGCCTATGACCTTCGTAGTGATGTGAGTGGATAGACTGGGTTTGCTTCTCTTTTCTTTAGTTCACTCCATTGTATTAAAAGGATGGAATAACTTTATTCTACTCCAGGTATAATTTGGAAAATGTTACATATCATTCTTTACTGGAATATTCATTAAATAACCATTTATGGTTATTGAAACTTTGCTGCTCCAGATGTAGATATTATCAGGTTACATCCCATTCAGAACAGCATCAAGTATGTGTTTAAATAATTGTCAGAAAAGCAATTAAAACACTAATGATTTATTCAAAATTCTTGAAGTAAAACTGAAATTATGCAGAATTTTTATTTTTTAAAAAGTATTTTCATGTTGAATTCATGATTTCTTTTTCTTCTCTCAAGACCTTATGACACATCCTTAGTTTGGGATTAAGCCATAAAAATGGGAGAATAACCATTCTGGGTTTTGAAACTCTGTCCCTTCCTCAGTTCTGTGTTGGAAGTATGTTGGATATTGATCACAGGGTACACATGCTCATTCTATGAATGAGTATTGATATTGCACAATATTCTTTGCTAAAACTTGTCAGCTGTTCTTATCTAATAAGATGCCAGGTTCATTTATTCAGCCATCATTTCAATACACTTTCTCTTTAAATGCCAGTTCACCAACAGAATAATTCAGTAATAAAATAAATAGTAAATACAATAATATAATAAATTCTCTTAAGAGTCTCTAGCCTTACTAATCAGAGCTCTTGCCTTTCTGCAGATTAAGTACAAATCTAAGGCAGAAAAAATGAAGGATAAATACAGTGTGGTTGTGGATACTCCGGTCTATGTCCAGAATGTTCTCAGTGGCTTGAATTCCAGTGAAGTAAGTGTTTTTATCACCTTTCAACCCCTAAATGGCATATGCAATCACCTGACAAGGTCTAGAAATGTGCCTTGTATTATTTTAAAACTTTTTAAATGATTTAGTTATTACTGGTTATCTACAACTCATTGCCTATGCCTTTATAAAGAGAAGAGAACATTATCAACTAAAATAATGAACTGCCTGAATCCAAAAAAATTTTCAGCCAGGTGTTGAGGAGAAAGTCCCATATGTGTGCAAACAATACATACTGTGAGAGAACATCACAATGATAACTCTTCTCTAATTACTTCTTCTCTTGTCCAGGCTGTCTATCGGGGTGAATATCTGCAGAACGTGAGAGGCAAAATGATTCCTACCGATAAAACCGTGGATTTGGAGAGGGCATATAATGCCAACAAAATACAGAGTGAAGTAAGGATCCAAAATATTTGATCCACAGAGTTTCTGATTTTTAAAAAAAATCTTTAGAAGTTGATGTCTGTCTTTAGCTGTTCAGGTAAACAAGGAAGAATTCAGTGCTCTAAAATGAAAGTGGGAAAGTGTCCTCATTAAACCTCCAAGTATGCCTGCTATTGCAGGCATGGGGGAAAATATTTTGCCAGTTCTGACTGAGGGCTTTCCTGTGCAGCTAAAGAAGACTGTCCAATAGCACAGACAGTTGCCACATATCTCTTTCTTTCTCTCTTCTCTTGCAGAACTTGTATCGCTGGGCTGGTGTGAGCGCTCTGCCTACAGGATACAGCCTTCCCACAGACACCCCTGGCTTCCAGCATGCCAAACATGTCCAGTACATTGGCAGTGATGTAAGTAATGGACTAAGTCCTGCTACAACAGGAGTTGCAGGGGAACATTCAGTGGCCATTCTGTATGAGCACAAAATTGCTTGTGACAGATAACTGAGGACCAATGTCCATCTGGGAAATAAGGCTGGAGCCAGGGCTGAAGACAGACCTGCCTACAGCACAGCTCAGGCAAGGCCTGACATCCCAGGCCTGACATCCCAGGTGTGACTGGTCAGGGCAATAAATCATTTATAATGTTTGCCTTAACAGAAATTAACCTTAAATATTATCAAGGCCCATAATCATCTGAAGCAATTACTATCAAAACATAAATTTCCTTATTTAAAATGTATAGCATTACTAATCTTGGGCCACGTGATAAAAATAATGATAATGTGCAGTGTGTTTAACATTATAGCTATATCTCACTTATCTCTAAAAATATGGCTCTTTATACTGCATAAATGACTGTCAGAACTGTAGTGTAAGTAGAATAAAAATTAAATTTAGCTTCTGGGTTTGTTTGTTTATTTATTTTCCTTTTTTTCCACTTAACAGCTGAAATATAAAGAAGCCTATGAACATATGAAAGCTAAAGGCTACACTCTGGGACCTAAAGATGTTGGGTTTGAAAATGTGAAAAAAGTGAATCAAGTCATTAATGAGGTACAGTGAAGATATCTATTTGCTTTCAATTGTATTTGTAGTGCCCAAAATATGAATTATGACAGTATGGTGGCTGGGAATGTTGCAGCATCCCTGTTCTTTGAAGCTTTTAAGATCAGACAAATGTCCATCAAGAATGGCAGAAGATCATTGATCTAGGCTTGGAGTTGTTCTGTTTGGCTTTTTCAGGGTCTTGATGACTCTGACTTTCTGTAATCCTGTAAAACTGTTACCATAACATAAAATCAGTTGTAGCCTAATTGTGTTAACAGATCCACTGCTACATGATTAATGTTGCATAGAAATGATTGTATCTGTAGGATAAGTCTCAGCTGGTTTAGGTTTTACATATATGGACTCACTTTTTTGTAATAAGATGAAAAGTCAACATACATCCTTACAAGTTTGTAGAATTAGAGTCTCAGACTCTTCAGGCATTAGAGATGCTGCTGCAAGAACAACTGGGGGAAGATTTTGCCTCGTCACAAAGTAGTATGTTTGCTCCCTTTGCTCTTGTAGCTATGCAATACCTGGCAAAAAAACCTGCCCTTAAAAGAGAAGTAGTTACACTGCCAAACTGCTGGCCACTTTCAGCTGTTAACATGTAGAGTGCTGTCTCCTTTGATACAGAGGCTGTACCGGGCAACATACCACAAGTACAAGGACAAGATTCATACCACTCCAGACACACCAGAAATCCGTCAAGTCAGAGCGACGCAGGAAGCTGTCAGTGATGTACGTGTCTTTCTAACATAAAGAACAGAAGGAATTTGGAAGATTCAGCATGCCAAAAGGTGTAATGCCCTATTTTCTTTGTCTTTCAGCTGATCTACAAGTCAGATTTCTTCAAGATGCAGGGACATTTGATTTCCCTGCCATTCACCCCGGAGGTGTTGCACTGCCGCTATGTTGGGGACATCACAAGTGACGTAAGCACCTTCTCTTCAGATCCCTGGTATTTGAAAACAGGCCTGGCACTTTTATACTGAGAGTGCAATTTGGCTTCTATCATTTGCATTCTATTCTGTGTATGTTAAAGATGAATGCTTTGTTAGTGTGAAATTAGCCCAGAAGTTAACTCTTTCTATTTGCCTCATAGAATAAATACAAAGAGGATCTCCGGTGGCTGAGGGGCTTGGGCTGCTTCCTGTATGACACTCCTGATATGGTCCGTGCCCGACAGCTGCGTAAGCTCTGGGTAAGGTTTTCCTTCTGACAACCATGTATACCAATGAGTGATTTATTTATATACCTGCTTTATAACTCTGGGAAACCACGTGCATGCAAAGGAGTAAAGAGTTCTGACAGAATTTCTTGTCATGCAGCTGTTTTACAGCGCTTTTAGTTTGCACTCTGAAATTTTCTTTGCTATCAAGAATCAGAAAGGGTTGTAAGTAACACTGCTTTTCTTTTTCCAGTCTAACTACATATACACTGGCACTGCAAAGAAAATGTGGGCTAAATACAACGTGGTGTTGGATACTCCTGGATACAGAGCAGTTCAGGAACTAAAAACTCATCTGAGTGAAGTGAGTTTTATATTAATTTTGCTCATCTTTGCTAGCTATAATTAAGCTGAAATACTCTCATGGTTGTTTTTTTTTTTTCTGAAACCTGTGAGATGTTATAATTGCAAAGCTGTGATTATTCAGCTGCTAAACATAAATAACAGAAGAAATAATTCATGGCCCTATCTTTTTTTTCAGCTGGTTTACAGAGCTGCAGGCAACGAGCTGAAGACAAAATACACTTCTGTCCTTGATACACCTGACTTCCTGAGAGCCAAGGAAGGACAGAAAATACAGAGCCAGGTGAAAAATTTGTACTGATTAAAAAGCCATCAGGGAATCCCTCTTGATACACTCTAAAGTACAGGGAAATCTTTCTAGGCCATTTCAAAGTAATGTAGAATTCCTAGAGAGTATGTTTAAAATTAGTGTTGCTCATTTTTAAGTGGCCATGGACTTTCATGTGATATGTAATGGACAAGTTCAGCTTTGTCCATTTGAAATAGGTCATTGAAACCTGTTGCAGTTCTATTCAAATCCTCTGAAATTCTGACTTCATCAGAACAATTAATGTTTTTATTCATCTACTTTTACTCTTCAGCATTATTTATATGGTAGTTCATTCTCTGAGTTATTAGCTACAAGTTTAGTGGACTTTTTAAAAATTTGCAGAACAAAATTTAGATAGAAGAGCAAAATGGACCTTGTGGATGCTTTATTTAAAGCCAGGTCTGAATGTAGGACAGAGGAGTCATAAATGTCATATGCATTTGACTTCTTGGTTTGTGAGCATTTGTGGCAGTCACAGAATATCATGAGCACCGTTAGAGAAAGATGAGCTGAGAGTCTATGGAAGTGGAAAGGACACTTTATTTTCCCCCAGGGTAAATCATTTGGTTATATATACATTGTGAATTTACAGACTTTTTCAGAGAGATAAAATAAAACTCACTTGAAATGCATATTTTTTGATTCTTTTCTTCTTGCTGCAGTATTTGTACGTGGAACTTGCCACAAAAGAGAGACCTCATCATCATGCTGATAGTAAGACTCAAGCCTTTACACATGCTAGGCAAGTAAAGGACATGGTCAGTGAGGTAAGAACATTTTAAAATCTATTTATTTTCTTTGGTACCACTATGCTGAACTGTTTAGAAGTTTTATTTCTAATTTTAGTGATAGTCTCAAGGCTCAAATCTGTTTACTCTTTGTTTGATTTTGTGTCTCATATGCTGAAGTTCCATATTTCCTTCTAAAGTTGTGTGGTGACAGTGTACACTTATTTAAACTTATTTTAGGATTTTATAAGATACCTGTTTCTAAGTGCTTGTGTGCAGAACCTGAGGTACACTGGCTGCATGACCAGGAAGATCTAGAAAGAGCTGAACAGCTCAGCTTGTTTTCCAAAGCTCTGATAGAAGTGCTTTGCAAGAATGACTTTGTGCACTCAGTGTACCAGCCTTAGACATTAATATGATACCAGATCAGCAAATGCTTCAAAGGTTAAAGCTTTTCCCTTTTGCTCTTTCTCTCTTAGAAAAAGTATAAAACCCAGTATGAGAAGATGAAGGACAAATACACTCCTGTCCCTGACACACCAGTCTTGATCAGAGCCAAGAGAGCATACCTGAATGCCAGTGATGTATGTAGTCCATGAACATTTTCTCTGATGTTTTTTCTTGGTTTCTTTCTGAAAAGAACAGAAAAAGGATCAATGGGGAACAAGCAGACAAAGCACAGGGATATTTCAGTGTGGGTCATAAACTGGGTCACCCCACTTGCATGTACATTTCCATTTGATATTATGGAGATTAAGTTCTTGTGACTGTAATGCTTTCTTCATTTATTGTAACTAATTTTCATTTTCCATTTCACTCAAGTGTGGTCCTACATCAAATAAAAAATGGATTGAAAGTAATTTGATTACATGTTAAATCTTCAAACAGCACAGACTGGAGTGAAATGATGGATGCTGGAGCTAGGAGAGAATACCTTTTATCAGATATTTTCATCTCAGTTTTGTGTTAAAAGTAGACTTACATGTCACTGAGAATGTACTCACTTTTAAGTTGAGAAGTAGATTAGTGAGAAAACTAATATGAGCTGCTGAACATAAGATTATTAGGCTGAAATTGATTTTTCTTTCACATGTGGAACAGTGATTTGTGATTTAAGACAATGGCTAAGAGTGCTCTAGTTCCTTGTGAGGGCTTTGCTATGTATTTCAGAGGGCACATTATATCCTGAAAGGGTATGTGCTGGGCTGGTCTTTTCTTCTAGTGGTTACTTTTACTGTCCTCTTAAGGGTTATTTTAAGTTCCTGCAAAGTAGCATCTCAGTTCTTCTGCACATCTGAATTTCTCCTCTGAGAAAGTCTTTCTCCAAAGACTGGGATGATCTTTCTGCTTTCTTCTACGTCAGGACATGGAAGAAGGGATAAGTAGTTTTTTTATGCCAAAAGTGGCACTTCTACTGTTCTAAGGAGTAGTCCTGTGATGAATGGATGTGTTTGCCTCATTCTTCAGTCTGAAAGTGCATAGGATGAAATGTTGCTTTAGATCTATCCACTCCTTTTCTCTCTAATTTTCACCATAAGTTTCAGTCAAATTGCAATTGATCAGAAGTAATCGCAGCTGCTTAAAATCCCTCAGGGCTTACATCAGCATGCTGGACACCAACATATCCCTGGGTGTCACTGCTAAGAGACAGGAAATTTGACTAAAATAATTCCTGACAGACAAACACAATACATTCCTTTATCTCTTATTTTTTTTAATTTCCAGTTACGCTACAAAGAGACCTTTGAGAACACCAAGGGCAAATACCACACGGTGAAAGATGCTCTGGACATCGTCTATCACCGAAAGGTCACCGATGATATCAGCAGTGTATGTACTCAGCCTTTGCATTCCTACTTAATCTTTGATTTCATAATCATTTGGATTGTGCCAGTTATGCTATCGTTCTACTGAAGTATGGGAAATAATTAGGCAAATATGATCAGGGCCATTAATATTAACTTATTTCCCTCTCAGAAATGTTATACACTTGTCACAAAAGTGAATGCGTGTTAATCTCAATTCCACTGGTTTAGCTCTGGTGTTTCAGAAAAAGGAATGTCTCAGGACTGTAGAGTCTGGAGACCACACAGACTTTTCTCAAAGTGTTTTAACTCTTTCTTCCATTTTCTTTGTAGGTGAAATATAAGGAAAACTATATGAGCCAGTTAGGAATCTGGAGGTCAATCCCAGACCGCCCGGAGCATTTCCATCATCGCGCAGTCACGGATGCTATTAGTGATGTGAGTTCAAATAGGTCCTGGATGTGAGAGATTAAAAGTCACATGTAGGTTTCCAAAAGGAAAACCCAGTCTTACTTCTTGAGAAAGCTAAAGGTTTCTAAGTGAGTTACACTTTCACCTGGCAGATCTGTAAAATGCCAGAGCAAATCACGGTAAAATTGCAGGTCTTTTATAATTAACCAAATAGTCTTAATTAACTCAAGTTTAATTTGCTTAGATTTGTTTGTTAACCCTATAACAGCCTTTCCTTGCACATACCTGTACATATACAATAACCCCTTAATTGTACAAGAATAAATGTTTTTTGATTCACACAGGAACTCCAACAGGCAATGACAGATTACGTATCTGAGTAACCTGAGTCCATCAGGAAAGTTTGAGTAACTAATTTATTTTATAATGGAATAATAATGGATGTAGCTCTGGTTCTCACACCTTGTGTTGAGGTGCTGTTTACAGCATTGATCACCACTCGAACTTGAATCCTTTAAACATCTTTTCTAAAGGTTAAATACAAGGAAGACTTAGCGTGGCTCAAAGGCACTGGCTGTTATGCATGGGATACTCCAAGTTTTGTTCTGGCAGAAAAGAACAAGGTGCTCTACAGTGGGGTGAGTAAAACAGCCTGGATTGTTGCTAAAGATTTTGTTATGTTTCCTTATATTGCAGATAATTTTTATTTTTTTTTTGCAAAAGAATCCAGTTCTGACCAAGACACTGGTATGAATAACTCATGATAGAACTTAATATGTAGCATCTAAAATTTCAGTTATTACTATAAAAGAAAACAGAGAAACTGATCTTTTACTTATCCCCTCTCTTCCTTGCAAAGGAACAGCTCCATAATATTTTTTTCTAGTGATTCTATGTCTAACCTTAAAAATTTGAAAATTTAAATTTTCTATTGCTTTCTTGATGTGATAGTTACATCCTGCAAACCACTACGTTCCCAACAGGTTTTTATTTGGAGTATATGCAACATTGCCACCGTGGTTTGGCTGCAGATTGTTTCTAAAATTGTGTTTTCTTTGCCTTACCCTTCTCTGGATGAACATGGGAATGATTTTTTTGTTGTTTGTTTTTGTTCTGTTTCATTTTCTCCAGTGTAAGTACAAGGAGACATTTGAGAAGACGAAGTCTCAGTTCAAATATGTAGCTGACTCTCCAATTAACTTGCATTTTAAACATGCAACTCAGCTGGTGGATGGGGTAAGTGTTAAAGATTTCTGTAGAATCTCATACTGAAGCAGTAAGTGTGTGTATGTTAATACTGAGTTGAAGGTTGATCTTTCTTATGAAATTGCAAAAAAATCAAAATATATTCAGACTTAAAGATGTCTCAAGCTTAGACTAAAATAATTAAACATAAGGTTGTTGTTATTGTCTGAGGATTAGGAGAGGGTTGGTTTACAGTACCTAAAAAGTCAAATTCTGAGCCCTTCTGCATTACTTTGTCATAACTTCTCCTTTTCTGACTGGTAAATAAATGCAAACTGCAACAATGCTGCTTGCTCAGTAACACAAATTGTTGATTGCAATGGAAAATGTTATCGGTAGAATCACAATTGTTTTCCTGAAACCTTGAAAAAAGAACTCCATCAGTATTAGCAAGGTAGTATTGTCCAAAGTTACCACAGCTGTGTGTCACTTCAGATATTTTGCCTTGAATCTCCCACTCTGCTACCTGTTTTTCTTTTCTCCTCTAGTGCTAAAGAAACAATAATCCCACCACAGCAGCTAAGGGGGTTAATGAATGTCCCTGTGTTTAAGATTAAAATCCCCAATGGAGTTTCTAGGAGTAGTGCCATATAGCTACAGGACAAAGCCCCCAGGAAAAGCATTGTGTCCTGGTGAATTCTCATCAGCTTCCAGCTGGCATTCCACACCAGAATGATGCTTTTCACTAAGGCAGCATGTATTTAGACTCTCACATCTTGGTGGTATATTTTTTTAAACCAGACCTTATATTACATTGTTTACCAGTCAGGAAATGTGTTACAGTATTATCTGTCCTAGGTAAAACAAACTGTTTCACAGCAGATACCATTGCTATCATTTCATAATCCATTTGTTATGGAAGTTTGTTAGTATTGTCTTCCTGCTTTTCAGTAGAGTAAATAAGGGAAAATTTAATATGAGAAACTTAAATAAGTAACATCTTTGCAATGGGGGCTCCATACAATGAAATGAACTTGTCTCAATGTCTTCATAATGTAAAACATAACTTCAAAACATAAGTGATGTTATTTGTGATGAAGGATTATAGCTGTTTGCAAATAATCTGATGATAATACAACATTGTATTTTACCCTTGCATCTCATTGTGTTCTCTTCTTACTCAAATCAAGAATTTAGTTCCATACGGAGTTGCTTCTGCAGTTATTTTTCATGAAGAAAGTAGGTCATAAAATGGCTTCTTGCAGAGTGGCAGGGATAGGATATAGGCATCCTTGAATTGTAGGTTGGGCCTTCCAGTGGAAATTAAGAAATACATGGGCCATTTGGAAATATTTTCTCTATGTGTGTTGGGTTTTGTTTTGTTTGTTGGTTTTTTTTTCTAATCTGTTTTTCTCTTTTGAATATGAACTTCAATCCCAGCCTTTAAATAGTCCATGTAAAGAGGATTCAATGTTTAGAACTATGATCTCTCTGTGTCCTCACTCTCTTTTACTTTGTTACACTGTATGATGATATTCTGAGCAGAAATTGTATAAAGCTGCCTATGAGAAGCTCAAAGATAGGTACAGCGTTATTGTGGATGATCCCAGGAACCTCCTGGCCAAGTGGGGGACCACACTGAGCAGCCAGGTACTGTAGGAGCACCAGCCAGTGCTGCCAGAAAGTGCCTGGTTCACTCACAGCTGCTCTGTCTCTCTGTGTGTATATATATACATATTCAATATATCTATATATGTATATATACTGTCTATAGCTAGCAGCATCCCAGGTTTCATCTGTGATGTTGTGATGATTTAGTTCAGCTGATCAGACAGTCTTTGTTTTGCCACCCAAAAAGACACATTACTTTTTGAGTGAGCTCATCTCTACTGTATGTACTTTCATGCACTGTGCAACACTTGACATCAGCAACCTCGTGCCTCTTGAAGTCATTGGATAAAGGTTTTAAAAAAAAATACATGTTGTATCATGCATTTATTTTTATCACCTCTCTTTTAATGACCTTTGCAAATAATATATTCTCATTACTCCAACAACAGTGACACATTTGGCTCTTGAGTGGCCTCACCTTAATCTATAATTTCCTCCTATCTCCCAAAAATTGTTTTTGCAATTTCCTCAATGGGATTGCCTGCAAATCTTATAATTCTTGATTCTGTAGATGTCAGTTGCATGCACATCTGAATGAAACATACAGTACCTTGCCTAAATCTCTCCACTCTCCACGTGTCTGGGATCTAGAGCTGTGTTGTTGTTTCTGGTGTTCACAAAGTCTCTTTTGTGCTTCGTTGCCATTTGCATGAACAGAGAAGTTACACATCCTTTGCCAAGATGCTCCTGCAACAAGGATGTAATGAAATTGAGAGGCCAGATATGCTGACAGCACTCTACAACACATACTTATGGAGCCAGGTAATCTGAAGAACTGCTGCTGCAGGAGACATATATACAATTAGCTGCTTGGACTTCTAATATTTAATGCTTGGGAAGGTCTCTAAATGTCTGCAGATATCAGACTCCAGAGTTTTTTGATGTGTATAGTGCTGGCTGTGATAAAATATTTTTGGAAACAGAATATCTGAAACAATATTTACTGTAACTTGGAATTCGCTCAGCTCAGGGTGATCTTGCCTCCCATTTCATTGTAAGTAATTGTTACATATACTTATGTATATATAATATACATATTTCTTAATAATATTTCACATACTTACAGAAAGAGCAATTTTCCATTGATGTAGGATATTGTATGTTAGTTGTTACTGTTACTTTCCTAAGCAAATTCTCATTCTGCCACCATTTCTGACCACCCCCCAGAACACAAGTCCCTTGACTCAATCTGAACATGATGAAGGCATTTGATGAGCAGATTACAACATTTCTCTACCTCTCTGCCTGAGACTGTGTCAGATTGTGCCCAGATAACAGCACAGTTGTGTCTCCCTCCTGAGTGCTCTTAGAAATGATGTG